GGCAGCCATGGCATCATCTAGACTTACACACAAATCAATATTCTATGATCTGGTGCATCAAGTTTTAGGTGAAATCAACTTTTAAAGTGCAGAAAATCTGTCACATATCTAGGATATTTTATGTGCATGCATCCGTAAGGTAGAATTCTATAGTGAGGAACTTATCTAAAGACCTTAGATGAGGTGTATCTCTTAATCATTAGGGTTTTTCGCAGCAATGGTCCCTCAACTATACCCGTATTTGCATTTGGGTCACTGAACTCAATTATTAGTTGCAGAGGTCACTCAACTGTGTGTTTCGTTGCACCAGTAGTCCTTTTGTCAAACTCTGTTAAATTTTCTGTCAAGAGTGAGGGTAAGTTTGGAAATTTATCCACAACCCTCCCTCTCCTCCACAACCCTCCCCTTCCTCCACAACCCTTCCTTTCTCTCTCTCTCTCTCTCTCTCTCTCTCTCTCTCTGAGCGAACTCGAACAACCACTATAGCAGCATTTTTCATCATGCCTAAATGGTACCGGTAAGGTCTTAAAGAACTGTTGAACCATCCTATTCAAGAACGCCCCGAAATCTACCCCGAATTGCCCGATCTTGTTACCGATATTGGGAATCATGGAAACCCCATTAATCCCGGAGTTCTCGGCCACCAACCCAACGAAGTCTTTCTTGCCGAAACTCTGGTTCGGGAACTCGAGATCGAAGAGCTTCAACGTGTTAGGATTAGGCCAAGCGAATGATGGCGTACTGATGTGGGACTGAATCAAACCTGTAAAGCCCTGCACGAGGTGGTCCGCTAAGTCCTGGCCATGGCGCTGAACCTCCTCCCAAGCTTCGAAGGACCTCTCCACAGACAGTTCAGCAAAAGTTGAAAGCTTTTTGTGTTGTTCCTCTGAAACAGTCACAAATTCTTCATGGCCTAGAAACAATGAGATTAGGATTTTGATTTGAGCTTCTAATAATGGAAAACCTGAGCTTTCTTCAATTTTAATAACAATTTCAAGCGTCAAATTTGAGCTTTCGAGCTTAGATTTTTCAATCTTAAATCTTAAAATAAAAATCTCAACCTGTTTTCAGATTTGTGGATGTTTATGGTTGATGGTTTACAGTGAGTGATGGGTTGGGGGAGGAGGAAGGATTGGGTGGTGAGTTTGGTACAATGGAGGAGAAGCAACCGAGTTGTCTTTCTTTTTTCCTTTTTCTGCCCAGATTTTGATACAAGGAGGAGAAGCAATGATTGAGTTGCAACAATGGAGGGTTGTAGATGAAGGAGAGGGTTGTGGATAAATTTCCAAATTTACCCTCAGTTTTGACAGAAAATTTAACAGAATTTGACAGAAGGACTACTGGTGTAACGAAACACACAGTTGAGTGACCTCTGCAATTAATAATTGAGTTCAGTGACCCAAATGCAAATACGAGTATAGTTGAGGGACCATTGTTGCGAAAAACCCTAACAGTTATATCAAATTTGTTAGTTTAATTCAACGATTAAGAAATAGGACCTTATTTAAGGGCTTTAGATAAGGCCCTTAGGTCCTCACTATAGAATGACTCATTCACAACACAGGGTTTCAGGGTTTCTGCTTTCAGCTGATTTCCTACCAGCATTGGGCTTTCAAGCCACCCTGTTGTGGTCCAAAGCGTATGGACAACATTAGCAGCATGGCCCGCAAGGAGTCTAGCAAAGCAGCACCAAAAAACCCACCAAGAATTGCAAGTTGCAACCCAAATGTCAACAGAGTGCAGGATTGACTTCTGTATTTACTTAATGAAAGCAAGCAAAGCATGAAAAAAAATGAGCATAAGAACGTAGATTTTCCATTCACACTCGCTTCCCCTTTCTCACACACACACACACGTATTGATATGGTTATGACTTGACTGCGTTGTTGAATGATGACTGAGACAAATTGGATTTATGGCTTCTCCTTGGATTGATAAAGCCTAAACGCTAATGAAATGTAGGTAAAAAAACGAAAAAGAAGGCCAAAACTGAATTATATGTTGATGCAACGGCATAATAATGCATGCATGATGAGCAGCATTCAGCCATCAAGATCAAGGCATCAAGTCAATGTTCACCAGTGTCTGCCCACGAATAATAAAAACCCAATATTCAAACGTGCACACCACCAAAACAATGACTTTGTAAAATGAAAACCAAAAAATACTGAAAAAGTCTCACGTTTTACGCAATTACAATTAGCTTTCATCTTCATCAATTATTTTTATTTTTATTTTTCGAATTCTCTCCCAATTATCATACTGTTTATGTTCGGAATCAAGTTTTATTAGCCAATATGTTGGTGCTAATATGGTGTTTTATCCCAAATCCCCAATCCCGAAGAAATAGAAAAACAAAAATTGTTACTTATTATATATAATTTTGGTATAATTTGTATAGATAAACACTACAATTGTGATTCACTACAACAACAACAAAAACTAGTTGCAAAACTGAGTCAACTAGAGAGAGCAGCTGTGCAGTGTTGACCAAGCGCTCACCTTTGACTAGGGTTGGTAGGATTCATTAAACAATACAATTTATATACACTCTCGGATTTTATTTTATTTTCTTGTTTGGGTTTTACTATGAAGAAGTTTGACTCTGTGTTTTAATAGATTGGCAAACTAGTTGAGGATTGTGTTGTTCTTATATCTTCCATGCGTTTTTAATGGAGCCGCACACTTACTTACCTCTTTTATGTCTCGATATGAATGTTGTTCTAGTTCAAATTGAGTCCAATTCAATTAACTTATTGATGTATTAACAGATAATCTAAGCATATTTATTCATTTTTAATAAAAAGGTTTTATCATTTGACTCCAATTTTTTTTTTTTAAGGCTTATTATCACAAAACGTCCATAAAGTTTACGAAACTATCAGATTGCATCCTTAATGTTTTTTTGTGTCACTCATGGTCCTCAAGGTTAGTATGTGTAATCACAAATGGTCTATGTCGTTAGGTTATGTTAAAAACTATGTTAGTTTGCTGACGTGTCATACATATATATCACAAAACATCTATGAGGTTCCCACACCTATCACAAATGGTCCATACGAATTTTTATTTTTATTTTAAATTTAAAATTCATTAAATGTTGGTTTTCTTTTTAAAATTATTTATAAATGAAAAAACCATTTATATAAGGATTTTAATCTTGAGGACTATTTATGAACCCTAAACCCTTAGTTTTTTCATTTTTAAATTTTATGAATTTTAAATTATTTTTTTAAAACTCCATTAGTTTTTTTATGTTGCATATATATGGAGCCCACGTCTACAATAATATAATGCCACATGTATTTAAAATATAATATATTTTTTAATTTTAAATTTTTTTAAATTTTTTTTTATAAAGACCATTTGTGATAGGTGCGTGAACCTCAAGGATGTTTTGTGATATACATATATGCCACGTCAGCAAACTAACGGAGTTTTTGACGGAACTTTACGGTAGGGACCATTTGTGATTATGCATACTAACATTGAGGACCACGAATGACACAAAAAAACATTAAGGATGCAATTTGATAGTTTCGTAAACCTTAAGGATGTTTTGTAATAATAAGCTAAAATTTAATTATCAATCGCTGAAAAAATGGGTGTAGATGATGATGTTATAACATCAAAAAGTAGCAAATAACATAAGTCATATCGCCTAGCAGCACACTAGTTTTGAAAAAAATGAATGCATACAAATAAAGGAACCCACCACACAAAGCAGCCAAGCATTTAATACAGAATTATTCACCAAAACACCCACTCATTATATATTTGTTTTTTTTTTCTATCATAACCACTCATTATATATCTTAATTAAAAAGAAAAACAACCATATGAAAAAACATAAGCAGAAAATTTGTCATGACCACCACTTTTGCAGCAGTACGACCCTGACTATATGGTGTCCAAATTAGAATACTAAAATATGTTACATGTGACCTGTGGAAAATAATTTTTGTGGATCCCGGGGATGTAATGAGAAATTATTAACATTATCATTTAAAGTAATAACTTATAAATAACAGAAGGTAAGCTATTAAAGTTGTTTGTTTTTGGTATAATCAAGAGTGAGCTTCCGTTGAGGGATCTCTCAAATAAGTTTATTTGAAGGATATCCTTGTAAATTGTAAGGCACACTCCGTATTATATTTCACTAATTCAAACCGTTTATTTTGTAGATATTCACTCAAATATCATTTCTATAAAATAAAAATAAAAATATCACTTGAATCCGATATCATTTGACTATTCAATTAAATTATTGAAATTAAGAATTTTTTTAAAGCACCGTGTTTATTGATTTTGTTGGTCTCAATTAGATGACTTAATGATTTTCAATTTTTCTGATTTTTTGTAAGGATAATCTTTGAATGAAGACTTGAAAAATAGACGGTTTGGATAGTTAAATTTTTCTTTTTATAGGATACTTTAAAAGGCGTCTCTATCCCTCAATAGATGGGTATTGTATGATTGATTAAACTGATTTTTTTTTTCGACTAGTTGACTAATAATTAATAGTATGCTGAAAAAATCAGAGTTTACATGCTTGGGTTTTTGGTAAATTTCGCACTCTAATTTTTATATTACACACAATCTATAGAAAAACGATAAAAGTCCGAACCTTTGTGAAGTTCCCATTTGTGGACTAGAGCGAGTGGCAATTGACATTGATGCTTGAAAGTATAAGAGATGAACGGTGATGCACACAACCAAAGTCATCAACTTATGGTAACTCGCGAAGCAGGGGATCAAAGTCCACTAGAAAATTACAAAAACAGGCAGGCTGGGGTTGAATCCCTGGTCCAAATCGGTAGGTGCCGCATGTGTTTGTTAAGTGTGTGAGTGAGTGGTACATCTAAAAATAATACGTTGCCGCTAAAATTAAATTTAAGCCCACACCAACCTACCCCTTTCAAATTAAACCCCCACCAAAAAAAAGAATAAATTAGAAAAAGGCCAAAAACATTTGCCTTTGTTTTTGGTAGCTATAAATAGACGAGTCCATTGGCACAAGGATTTCAGTTGTGAGTTGCTCTGCATCTACCTACCTAACTCTTGTTCGTAGAACCAGCACGCACTCCTCTCCCCTTCTCTGTTATTCAACGGTAAGTTTTTGCATTTCTCAGAAACCCGAAGCTTCCCTTCCAATTTGATCAAATAAAGTTTGGATCTTTGGCTTATGATTTGTATGGGGAAAAAAATCAGATATGGCACGCAAGAAGATCAGAGAGTACGACTCCAAGAGGTTGTTGAAGGAACACTTCAAGAGGCTCGGTGGCCGTGAATTGCCCCTTAAATCAGCCCAAGTGAGTCTTTTTTTCTTTGATTCAGATTCCTGATTTACTCTCTGTTTTTCTGCTCTCTGCTTAGTGCTTGTCTGTTTGTTATGCATTTAGATCTTCAAGTTTCAAACTTTGGCGGCCCATTTTGAAAGATTCTTCGTTGTCATTTATATATAAATAATTAAACAAAAGAGATCATGTGGTTAAAAGTGCTGTTTAAATGCCAATTGTGGAGTATGAGGTTTGATTCATAGATCTAGTCCGAGCTCAGTAGATTTATTCATTAAGAGGGTATTGATTTTAAATCTGGTTTTGCCCCCTTTGGGTTTGAATAGCCTTAACTGGGTTGTTTAAGATTCAACCAATCTAATTGTATGATGCCAGTCGAAGTAAATTTGATCCTGCCAAACATTATGTTAACTGTAATTCAATGATGGGTTTTTTGTTGGCTCTCGCCTCAGATTACTGAATCAACCGATCTCAATGAGCTAGTTGAGAAGGAATCTTGGCTTTCATCTTCCAAACTGGTTGTGAAACCTGACATGTTGTTTGGAAAGCGTGGGAAGAGTGGTTTGGTTGCTTTGAACCTTGACTTCGCTCAAGTTGCCACCTTTGTGAAGGAGCGCCTTGGCAAAGAGGTATTTAATCTTCTCATTGTTTCTTACACATAAGTTTCTTGTGTTTTGTAGTTCATACTATCATTTCCTTTTAAGAATTTAGAATTTTGATTACATGTTTCCTTTTTGGATTTACAGGTGGAGATGGGTGGTTGCAAAGGACCCATAACAACATTCATTGTTGAACCCTTCATTCCCCATAATGAGGAGTTTTACCTTAATATTGTCTCAGACCGACTTGGGAACAGCATAAGCTTCTCCGAGTGTGGAGGAATTGATATTGAGGAGAACTGGGATAAGGTACTTTAGGATGTCAATTTGTTTCCCAATATTTCTTCCTAATACAAGATACACTTTTAGCATTTTGTTCGTTATCTGTCTCTTGTATAAATTGTCTTAGCACTTCATGTTTATAAAAGAATTGTACTTGATGCAGGTCAAGACCATATTTGTCCCTACAGGAACTCCTTTCACATCAGAAGTATCTGCACCACTTGTTGCAACCCTTCCCTTGGAGGTAATTCCTTGGCAGTCATTGATATCATATATTCATTATTCTTTATTGTTTTGTAGGAATTCAATGTTCAGCTTTGTTCTAGCATTAGGTTTCTATTTTCTTGACTTCAATACTCAGTTCACTTCTGACCAGGAAGAAACAAATATGTTACTTGATTTCGCTTAATTTATTACTGGTTTGGTGCAATGATATGCTATATGTCAATTGAGTTCATGTTCATTTTGGCTTAAATTGAAAGTCATTGACAAATATTGTTCTTGAATCTAGATCAAAGGAGAACTTGAGGACTTTATCAAAGTCGTTTTTACTCTATTTCAAGGTGTGTTAACAATTCTTTGACCATTCCATTTTGTACTAGAGCTGCAAGACGTAAGAACAACATTATTAATTATTAGTATGTTTCAGATCTGGACTTCACTTTTCTGGAGATGAATCCTTTCGCACTGGTTGATGGAAAGCCATATCCTTTGGATATGAGAGGCGAGCTGGATGACACTGCTGCTTTCAAGAACTTCAAAAAGTACCTTTCATTTCCTTTAGTTATTATTACCTTCTCTGTTTCGTCATACATATGCCAAGCTCTTTACTGGTGTTTTAGCTTACCACTTTCTATAACACCTTACATTATTTAATTGTTTCAGGTGGGGCAGTATTGAATTTCCAATGCCATTTGGAAGGGTTATGAGTTCTACAGAAAAATTTATTCATGGCCTAGATGAAAAGGTACACACATATGCCTTCAAATTTGAGATGAAATCTTTACATCTCGTCAATGAACTTCTCCATGGAAGATTTGAGTCATGTATTTATACTTTCTTTTAATACTCTTAAATAATACCCTTCTTGTTTCTTGTCCAAATCCATGGTTGTTAAGTAGGAAAGGAAATGGCTTGGTCCTGGCACTACCAAATCCCTCCATTAAAACTTTTACAAGTCAGCTGATCCCTAGTTTTTCAAATGATTTTTTAAAACCATTATCTAGCATGAAAGCTGGGATTCCTGCCATTGCCGTTTATCTAAATGAATGTCAATAGAAATGCATTCTGAAGTTCAGAGTCTTCTAATCTTTGAGAAATAAAGCCCTTTTTTTTCAGTCAACTGGTATGCATGTCTTTAGTCTGAATTTGGATAAATGATCCCCTAATGTCTCTCAATTGTAATTTTATATTGGTAACTCTTATCACATTTCATTAAGTAACATCCACTTAGTAGCCTTGTCATTGTTTATTTATCAGGTTTATTTGTCATTTGCTTGCAGACTAGTGCATCTTTGAAATTCACAGTTCTCAACCCAAAGGGACGAATTTGGACTATGGTAGCTGGAGGAGGTGCAAGTGTCATCTATGCAGACACGGTGCGGTTACCTAAGATTTGGAATATTTGAACCTTGTTGCTTTTTGAAAGTTGTTTTTCATTGGCATTAATTGCTCATACCCAAAATGATATTCCTTGGTCAGGTTGGAGATCTTGGCTTTGCTGATGAACTTGGAAACTATGCCGAATACAGTGGAGCACCTAATGAAGAGGAGGTATTGCAGTATGCCAGAGTTGTGATTGATGTAAGAACTCTTCACTTTCACTCTTAGCATTGTATTACTATGTCCATTATGGATTAAATTGGTGCTTTCATATTTGACCAGTGCATCTTTTTTCTTCATAAAATGTAAACATCCGGTAACACATGCCTACGCACCTCAGACTTTGGTTTTGTGTATAATAATCTTATTCCTTCTACAGTGTGCAACGTCAGACCCTGATGGCCGTAAGAGAGCCCTTGTAATTGGAGGAGGAATAGCCAACTTTACCGATGTAGCTGCAACATTCAATGGTATCATTCGAGCCTTGAAGGAGAAGGTGAGCTTAATCTACTGGGCTAAGAATCCTATCTTTGTTATGTTAATGTCCGTTCCAAGTGTGAAAATTGACGATGACATATTTGATTACTCAGGAATCAAAGCTTAAAGCCGCAAGGATGCATCTCTATGTCAGGAGAGGAGGTCCCAACTACCAGAGGGGCCTCGCAAAAATGCGGGCACTTGGAGAGGAAATCGGCATCCCAATTGAGGTACCAACGTTTTTGAAATCTCTATTGTTTTAGCAGACATGCAAATACTTGAAATGCCTGTCAGAAGAACTTCACTGAAATTTATTCTTCTGTTTCTGTGTTCTCTTCTTGTAGGTCTATGGACCCGAAGCAACAATGACGGGTATTTGCAAACAGGCAATTCAGTGCATCAGTGTTGCTGCATAAGTCGTTCTTCAGATTGCTCGCTCTTCTCCTTTCTTTTCTTTTCTTTTCTGGCAAGTTTCCATGTCTCCATTAAATCCTTGTACCAATTTCGTTCTATCAAAAACCTCAGCGAAGTTAATGTAGTTTGTACGTGCTAATGGGTAATGGTAGCGTGATTGTACTGTGTGACCTTGTTACTGAAATAAAAAGTTTACATTGGCGTACTCATTTCTCTGCATTTTGAGATCCTTGTTGTCTTGTCAGTACCAAAAACCTTAACCAAAGTCGAAATGTGCATCAAAATGCTAATGTGCCGCAAATGAAAAACAATGAGGGAACGAGCATGGGCTTCTTCTAAGTTCTATGGGTTTGGGTTGGGGATCAAAACAACAGTTGGCCAAGAGTAACTTGACCAGAATGAACACAAAAGCTTGATTCAAACCCATTAATTATCTAAGGCCTTCTGCGGCTCTATTTCTTAACTGTTGAATCAAATTAATTAATCATGTTGTTATATCTGTAGCTTTCTATATAAAATTCATATCTTGTCTTATTTTAAAAATAGATTATTTGTGTATATATCATGCATATGAAATATTTATATTAATGTTGACACAAGACCCATGTAGATTCTTTTATTGGTTTTCTTTTCTTTGAAGACTAACATGAGAAGTAGGGCGGGGTGGGTGTATATGCACTATTCATGCAGTAACGCTTTGGACGAATTATATAATGAAAAGACGTAGCAAGCAACAAAACAAAATATTTTAAAATACAACCTTCATATTTGTTTGATTAAATACCAGTAACATTACATTTATATAGACTTGTTTGGGTCGTTGGTGGTAGGTTGGTGAGCTTAATTTCTAGGTTGCCATAATGCGGCTTCACCTTTACCAACTTTGAAGCCGCAAGTAACCAGTCGTTGAAATTGTAACGTAAAATATAATCCTTGAGAATCTTTCTATAGATTTTTTTTAGGACTTTAACTTTTGAGAGGGGTGTAGTATATTAAATTCACACATACTACATGCAAAATGAACTCACGTTGTGGACTGTATAGGTTGTAGCCCATACCCAAAAAAAATATATATATTTTCAATGTCCATGTAAATTGTAGTTTCTTCTTACTCGTTTGTTTCAGACAAAATTTTGTTGATCTATTCTTTAGTTCCTTTTCTCTATAACAAGTATTGTAAATTTGTCTCCTTCTATATGGTTCATTACATCATTTAATGCTAAAATTGATGTCACGTTATAGAGAATATGAAATTAATAGTTGACATTATACTTGATGCCTCTAATACTTAATGTTTTTTTTTTCCATGATCTACATTTGGGTGTTGTTTCTAAGTTTATTTTGGGGTCGGAAAATACATTTAGCAACTCATTATATTGTAGGACTATAAGAAGGTTTTAACAGCCCTAAGTTGAATTTTCTATTTTTAGTAGTTTTGTACTGAATGTATTTTATTTTTTAAAGAACATACATAAGGTAAATTTAGCCCATCACATTTTCAAATTATGGATTCATCACTGACTACATGAATGCTCGGACTCGAACTCAAAACCTTCCCTGGAGAAGCAATTGCTCCAAACCTTGCTTTACCTACATACGAAGAATGATGTTTGGTGAAATCTTCAAAAAATTTAAAATATTCTTAGAAAACTCCCCCTTCACATTTTTTTTTAATACTGTCCCTCCTTCATTTATCTATTTTAATTTGTTTATTAGGTTTCTTTTATTTCACGCGATTTAACAAAATCTCTATATATCTCTATATATAAAGCAAAATGCAGAGAATGATGAAACATTCAAAATACCAAAAAAATGTCATTGGTTAATGCAAACACTAAAAATTGGAATTATTAATTAAATGAGGATAATATGGTAAACTCACACTTTTTCATATTTTAAAAAATTAAAATTAAAAGAAAAATAAGATAATAGATCCTATTTTTATGGAACATAACTACCCATTATCTTTTTTAATTCTAAAATAAATTTTAAATTTTTTTTTAAAAAAAAGCCTCTTGCAGGCGCGGAAGCGCGTGCAAAGAGGCTAGTTAGAAGAATTAGAAAAAGAAACAAAATAAATATATAAAACTCACACCATATTATTATTATTTATTATTATATCTTCCTTTTCTTTTTATTTTCTAAATATAACTGGGATAGATCATATAATTGAGAATGAACATCACAACATTTTACGCTTGATCCTAGATAAAAAACAAAAACAAACAAACAAACAAACAAACAAACATTATAACATGTGACCATGTTTTATGCATGTCAGACGTGTAATATCCAGAGATAGATATAGACAATAATAATAAGTACTTTTGTGGCTTTGATTGAGATATATAATTGCATTATGATGTCTGCTAGTGACCTTCATGAAATTCACATTTCTTACAAGTATAGAATTGAGAATGAACATCACAACGTTTTACACTCACCCATGTGACCATGTTTTATGCATGTCAGACGTGTAATATCCAGAGATAGATATAGACAATAATAATAAGTACTTTTGTGGCTTTGATTGAGATATATAATTGCACGTTTTTTGTGTTCTATCATAAATCATAAATACCACAGCAGTGCAACATGTAATTCCACGAGTTAATTTACACTAACATTTTGAAGGTTTTCAACTTTTTCACAAAAATTCCTGAGATTTCGGAAATTACATGAACACTGTCTAAGGTTTTAAATTGTTTTCACAAAATTCATTTTCATCGATTTTTCGTCCAAAAATTGATTATTTTATATATGAAAAATTATCCAAAAAACAAAGTTAGCATTTTAAACTAGATTACACATACATTCACTAAGGTTGCTTTTATCATTTACGCACGTTTTTAAAAATGAAATTATCAAATTTTGGAGGAACAATCAATAAAAAGGAATTTTGTAAAAACAATTTGAAACTTCAGGGGTGTTTATAATTTATAAAACTTCGAGAAATTTTATAAAAAAGTCAAATATCTGAGGGTGTGTTAATGCAAATAACGCATAATGTGACTGAGGAAGTATATAATATCAAATCATGTACTATTTCTTTATTTTTTCAGCCCTGCATATACATACATGTCATCCATTGCTGTTTGGACAGCTAGGTTGGTTCGTATGGTAATGCTTTCTGTGGTTCTAGTCCATGTGTCATAAATGCTGATTTAAAGCCAGAATATGATTCAGATATGTCTAGATGAGGTGGCATGCATGGGTGGGTTCCTCATGCCACACTGTAATTTTAATTGGTAATTACTGAGAATAACTCAAAACCTACTTTCTTTGTGTGTGTGTGTTTTTTTCGTCCCTTGGTTTCATTATATAAAATAAATTTGGGTTTAAAAGTTATAGTTGTAATGATAGATTTAGGCGCAACAATTTATGTTTGATTTGTTTAGGCATGTGATTTTTATGTCAAAATTTCTAAGGTCTTTTGTGACTTGTATTTCGATTAACCATATGTGATTATTATGCTTCTATATTTGCATTACTAATTTGCAATGACGGAGCCATGATTTTTCATTAGAGGAGAGCCTTCACAAAATTTTATAAAATAATTCGAAAACATACTGTTGAATTCAAGAGTAATCTAGATCGATAACACGATATGTATTTATTTGTAGGTATAAGTTCAAGGGAGCGATCTCCTTCATTACAAGAGTCCCCCCTATTTATAGGGGGGGTTTGATAATGGAATGTATTACAAGTCGACCACCTCGGCTTGGAGCCGAGCTGTTATGCTTCCCATCCTACCTTGGGCGAGGCCCACCCACGTCTCTGGTTCGTGATGGTCTGTGTCATGGGCGGTTCTTTATATTATGGCTTTTGACAGGGCAGTGTTTAGGAGCCGAGATCGAGCTCTCAGGTGAATTTAATATTCCGTCTGTGTTCTTTTAATTGGGCTGCTCGGCTCGGTACATACCGAGCGTCAACACATACGATGAATAATTAGGTTTACTCACCTTTGTCCCCTACAAAACCATACGATGGATAGGGATGAGTTGCTTTATGATATCCCCAAAAGGAAAGGGCAAAGAAAAGACTATTTTGCTTGTCCAAAAGAAACCGAATAATATGTTAACTTAATTAGATAGATCTATGGATAAACATCTAACTTACTAACATAGTTAATTGCAAAAGGGAATAGATTGCTCATCTCATCTCATCTCATCTCATCTGTGTTGTTGAACTACTCAACCACAATTTAATATGCCTCATCAATTAGCGATCATAAACACTTTTGTAAATGTTTTCGTATCCAGATTTGATGTATTTAAATCAAGAGAAATGCTAATTAGAGTTGCCTAAATCGACTCTAATTTAAGACTCTCTTTATAATACTGTCCATGTGTAAAATAAAGAATAAAGTCTACAGTTGATCTCATCCAGATTGCATTTTCTCAAAGTCGTTAGACTTAGGTTACTGGTCGTTTTGGGTTGCCTCGGTTTAGCAGCATCGCTGAATTGAATCCTCTCTCTCTCTCTCTCTCTCTCTCTCTCTCTCTCATCCGACCCGAATAAATAATTCTCTCTCAAGTCCCGGACCAAAATATTCAAACAGTGGCACCCCTCAAGTCTTCGTTTGAAAGTAGACAGATGTCATTTCCATGGTGGCCTGGTTTGGGCTTAGATCATTACATATTCTTTTTGGTTGATGGTCAAGCCCCAAAACGGACGGCACGGATTTCTTCACCAACATCAGATCGTGGTCAGGTCCACCTACAACACCCCACCCCATCTCACCGGCCACCCCACGCCAATGCCTTTGTCTTTTTATTCATTCTTTTATTAATTATAAAATCAAATTCATAATTATATTGCAACGTACATTGTATTGCACACCTAGTATTATATACGTTTATGTTGTTTCGTTGCCATGTCATTGTCAAACAAATACTGCGTAAAATTCATTCTACTGACCTCCTTTTCTTTGTTTGGAAAATGCATTGTATTTATATATACACGTGTATGTTTACATATAAATTACAATGCATTGTACCTATACATACGCTACTTTACATTCATGTTCTTTTATTCAATGCCAATGAATCATACAAAATTTTCAAAAATACTTTTTTTTTTTTTTAAAAAAAAAACTTTGAGGTTAATTCAAAATTTGAACTTTACTGTGAACAAATTTTATTTATTTATTTTTTTTTTTTTTTGCCAAACTTAGAAAGGAAGAGGGTAGAAAAACTCACACACGGGT